GCGATCACATAGTCACTGACACCATTGGTGATGGTGGCCATCGAGTGGGAGTGTTGAGTATCGCGGTGGTCAAAGCTTACGGCAGGACTAGCGATGGACATTTAAATAGACGGGATTCCCACTTTTGATAGTACACTCAACAAGAACACTACAACTACCTATCTCAACATATGCAATTCATATTATTCATATTCGCAAATATTCATGAATATTCATGAATGATCATATTCCTTTCGGAGCCCTACCCTTGACCCGCCCCTCCGGAGGGGAGGGTCGTAGGCTGACGACCCTCACCGCACCTGAGGGTCATAAAATCTTTGGAGGGTCACCCGCCAAGTTACCCTCACGACCCGCATATGCATAAATTCTTCACACCTTCCCTGATTAGGATGGATAAATTTGCTGACAGATAGCAATAAATTACTGTTTCTTATACCTGTTTCGTCTGTCACACACTTAATTCATCTTTTTCTATCCGACCCCTGTGTATTTTTATGAAATATGTCTTCAGGTCTTCTTGCTTGGTAATACTCAATTGACAGATTCTCAGGTCTAAGGGAGACCGTTGTGGTATGTATTGTAAAGAATTGGAGAGATTGGCAAATCACGATGTGGAAATATATATTTTGAGTGCAGAACGTAGTCGCACCGCAATCCAGAGACGGCTAACATTTTTCTGGATATAACCTAAAACCACTGGAAATCCTGACTTCATTGTATTTGATATATTGTATTCACTCTCTAAACACTTATGCTACGCTAAAATTAAGCAGAATATGTCGATTAAGTTCAATTATGTGACTCCAGAGTTCTAGGGTCCTAAGGGCGACCCTCACGACCCTCAAAGTGACCCTCATAACCCTCAGGGTGACCCTCATAATCCTTGTTCTAGCCAATTAGTATCGGTAGTATCAAATATGATATATCACTTTTTCTCCTTTGTTTGCGAAGTAGACCCTTGTCTACAAGACTCAACTACCCCTGAGTTCTTTACTGAATAGCACAAGAGATCGAGGTAAGACTTTTCTTCTCCTAACCATCTTCATAATGTCCCAGTTCTCTGATAACTTTTCATCTGCTTATGGGGGTCCTCCCTCGGATTTTCTTGAATATATTGCTAATGATAGTTCAAATCAGCTTTACTCCTCTATCCCATCTGGAAGTCAAACTACCTCCCTTCCCTCGTCTCTACATCGAGCGGCACCTGATTGTCTTCCACGGATTTGCCCCGATCGGATCAGATCGTACATCTTATACTCACCGGAAATGGGTAGCGAATTCGTGCAGTGGTGGCTTCATACCGATTTTGGCCAAAAGAAACAGATATCTTGGGATACAAAACGAGCTGCCCAGTGCTGGAAAAACTTTGACCAAGTCGCGTTTGAAAAAGATGGAAAGCCTGGGGTTATGTGCCATCAATGTCGGAAGGTGCTTGATCACCCTGGCTGGGCTCATTCAGGGACGACCTCAATGAATAAGCACTATAATGGGGTAAATTGCCGAAAAGCTGCCTCAGCTGCAGGGAAGAAACCAAATATCAAGCTTGCATTAGAGCATGCGGTATAGATAAGACCTAACTCTAACCGTGACGATCCTAAATCTGACCTCGACGTTTAGGCGCAGAATGCGACGGTACGAAGATTCGATGAGCGAGTTTGGCAGCAGAAGCTTGCTAAGCTTCTTGCTGTATCGCATCTCCCCTTTCTGTTTCTCGAGCACACCGAGTTCCGTGATCTTATCTCCTACGCCCGGCTTGCACCGTCAATGCCGGAAATTCCTTCTGCTAAGGTTATGCGCCGGCAGCTTCGAGACCTAGTCCGTGAGAACCAAAAGAGTATCCTTCAGAGACTCCCTTCTGGTGCGAAGCTATCACTTGCTCTAGATTGCTGGACATCGCCATTTAAGCAGGCATTTATAGCGATTACGGGATACTTTCTTGACGAAGACTGGGAGTACAATGAGATACTACTCAGATTCGAACACTTACATGGATCTCATTCAGGTGCAAATCTGAGTGAAGTGCTCTTCAAGCTGCTACAGGAGTATCAGATCACAGATAGAGTGCTTACGGTAACCACCGACAACGCTTCAAATAACGTTACCCTTATGGCAAGTGTCCACGACGCGATTGAGTCACTACAATCCGCCAACGATGTCGTTATTATTCGGATACCGTGTATTGCCCATGTGATCCAGTTAAGCCTTAAAGACCTCCTTGGGAAGATGAAGGCTGCTCCAAAGAATGATGTAGCTGAACAGGCATGGTCTGATGACCGGGTGGATAGTCTTCGTGCAAGACAGCAGAAACGCGAGATCGTGGACACTCTAAATAAGGTGAGATATCGTAACTTTTCTACCATTCATTATCCTAATCTGTCTCTTAGGTTCGAAGCCTTGCGATCTATATCAACGCGAGTCCGCAGCGCCGAGAGTCATTCTACAACTTACAAACTAAGGAGCCAAAGCTCGTGCCAATTCAGGATGTTGCTACTCGATGGAACTCCACGTTCTTAATGCTTGTCCGCGCAAAGAAACTCCAGCAAACCTTCGATGCTTTCTGTACACAGTACGACCAAGAACATTTTGCCCTAAGTCAGGAGCAGTGGCGACAAGTGGACTATCTTATCTGCATCCTTCAGCCTTTTCACCGATTCACAACTCTTCTTTCAAAGTCGAAGGACGTCACTATCCACCGGGTCTTTAAGGTCTACAATAAGCTATTTGATCACATAGAAAAGTCGATTAGACGGCTTAGACGGAAGAGGGTCGCTTGGAAGCAAGGAATGCTTATGTCACTCGAAGCGGCAAAAAGCAAGCTCTCAGTCTACTATAAAGACACTGATAATATGGATGGCGATCTCTATGCCATTGGCACAATCCTTTCTCCGCAGGATAAACTTCAGTTTTTCTCAACCGCCGACTGGGACCCAGAGGAAGGCGGAATTGATTACCGAGCAACCTATCGCCAGAGCCTTGAGTCCTCTCTCGAAAAGTACTCTGAGAACCTTGCGCGGGAGCAGCTGACATTAGGTGCTCCTCTAATGATTCCAGAAACGGATGAATTTGATTTAGCATGTGTTCGAGACGAGTCGCAGCAATCGCAGATTCCACAGCGAGTTCAATCTGACGAGCTGACAAGGTATCTTGATAGTAGTAAGTTTCTCTTAATTTCGACAGAATTTATTACTTATTTCTCTTTCAGACACAGTACCAAATGCTCAGCCTCGAACTTGGTGGAAATATCACCAAGATGAATTCCCGAGAATGGCGAGGCTTGCACGGGATATTCTTTCGATTCCAGCTAGTGGTGCAGGAGTAGAACGGCTTTTCAACTCTGCGCGAGATATTTGTCATTATCGGCGGGGCTCTCTACAGCCTCAAACAATCTCGGATCTTATGATGTATATGTGCACGTCGCGTTTCGAGATTCTTGAAGAGGAGCGAATAATGCTGTCTGAATATCTTTCAGCCCAGGAGATACAGGCTGCAAAGGAAGAGAGAACACAGCAACATATCACCGTTGATCCAATCAGTGATGATGAAGAGGATGAGGGGCCTTCTACAGAGTTTCAAGCAACTTCGCCTGGCCAAGCAGCTTCACAAGGCCTATCTACAAACGCACTTGGCAAAAGACGCTTAAGCAGTATAGCCAAGGATACAGGAGGTGACCAGGAAGATGATAGTGAAGTGACATGCCTGCCAGAGATACAGCACCGAGTATCTGGTAGAGTTCGCAAGCGTTCAAGGTTGCTTGATGGATATGAAATATTGGATATATAGTTAATTCGTTCAATTCATCTATTCAGTTCATCCTTTCAATCTATCTGTTTAATGCATTCAAAGTGATCAAAGGTAGCAAAGTAAGCCTAGAACTGCTGTAAGTGAGATACTCAAAAATACAGCTAAAACCTACATATTTTGTGCACCGCGCGACATGCTGGTGTTTGCATTGTTTTACGACCCTGAGGGTCGGGTCGTGGCCCTGAGAGTCGGGGGGCACTTTCAACGACCCTCCCCTTGTTGAAATATCCCGGTTGCTGAGATAATGAGGCTGGGATCACGTGCATACATATATACCTATTCACCAGCCTACTTGTATCTTAGACAACATGCAACACAACACACAATCAACTCCCCTCAATAACATGAACACTGAAGCATCACTTATAATCAACAGGTTATGAGCCCGGCAATGCTCACCTCAAATTGGAGAATACTTTCCACTCCAAATTTCCCCCTCATGTGAAAGCTTCATTTATTGACTGAACTGGAATTTCTCATTTAGTTTTTCAACCGAGAAGACATTTTTCCTGAGGATCGATAGGCAAACGAATTGTGCGGAATCGTCTCACAAAGTTGACAAAGCCACCACACCGCTACAGATAGTCGTCAGACCAATGACGGTCTACAGACATGTTTCACAACAGACAACATCGTCTCACACCGCTACAAAGGTTACACCGCTCCAGACGTATCACATCGGCATGGAGAGAAGAAACGACTTGTTCTCCGTAGCATGCCAGGAATCCACTTCCTCTCAAATCCCTGGCATTCTCGAAAAAAAAGAACATTTTCACTTTCTTAACTTATGACAAGAAGGAAAGGATCATACAAGGGACATAGATGGACTGAAGAAGAGCTCAACTTGGTATGCTATCTTCGATACATCCGCCAGTGGCGCTTCTCGCACATCCAAAAGGTGAAGTTTCCATTACTTTCCCGACACGCACTCGGCGGGGCCTATAGGCGTTTACCTCTGGAAGAACGCACACGCCGGGCGATCGCTGCTGCGCCTGTTATCGCCAACTCCCGGCATACCACAGAACGCAATTCTCCACGTCAAGTTCGACCTTCGCTCTCCAGCTCAGAGCAGAAATCACCTCACCACAACAAACACTGAGATTGGACATGCACCGTTGACCTCAGATGGGAATAACTCAAATCGGTACAACCTCCGACCAAACAGACCGACGACCTTTACAGAGCGAAAGCCACGATATATGGTTGATCGCGTCCGCTTTCCTCATTTCTTCGAGTCATATCGCAATCACCTCAAGCCATACGAGCTATCGGACAGTGAATACATTCCTCCATCGCATACGCCTACCCCAGGCTCATCGGATTGCCCCCACTCCGTCAGCTCTAGTCCGCCCAGCGAGATATCAAGCCTGGAACTATTCGGCCTTGAGGCGCGGTCTCTCGAGCTGTCAAACCGCACACCTTCCATCCACTCAATTCGCTCAAGTGGCTCGTCAAGTGCCGAATTCTTTAGCACTGAAGAGCCCTGAATACCACCACCATGGATTCGAATAAATTTGAACAAATAGGCTTGAGCTCATTTTACCATGCCATACTAACACTTGATAATGCCAACGACTGGTCGCAGTGGAACCAGAAAGTTAAGGAGTTTCTTCGAATATCTCCCGTGGCTAAAGATGAAGCGATCCCACCTCTGGAAGAGGAGGGAGCGCAGCAATGGTCTCACCGCCAGACATTTTACTCGTCAATGATCGCGGCAAAGCTGACCCACAACGCGGCTCAGCGGATAAACGCCTTCGAAATCACTCGAGTCCAAACTCTAATCAAAGCGGTGAAAGAAAACTTCAAGCCGGAAGGTTCAGGAACATACGTCAATCTTCAGAGAAGGTACATGTCACTTACCCGAGCAAAATGTGGGAGTGCACAAGCCCTCGGGGCCGAGATCAGAAAGATCCATGCGGAGAAACTATTACTCGACCCAGCATGTGTCACATCTGAGATTGAACGAACCTTCTTCTTCCTGCATGCCTTAGGTCCGGAATATGAGAGCTTCCGCGACCATATCTTCAGGCAAATGGACATTGTCAATGATAGAGACGAAAACGGACATATCACCAAAGCGGCCCCTACATTTGACTACATTGAGAACAAGGCCATTGAAGAGGAGCATAGGAAAGGCCAGCTGAGCAACCAACCCGCAGATGCGAATGCACTTCCTGCCTTCACACTCAGCCGAAGCCTTAGAGACAAGAAAGTCACACCGTCTTCAGATGGGAAAACATGCCGGATCGAGATCAACAATGTCCCTTTCTGTATTTTCTGTCGAAACCCCTATCATAGGGAGCCTCAATGTTTCGAGAAGAATCCCAACCTGAGGGACCAAGAAAAGGAGAGAAAAACACGCAGGCCAAGACCCAACGATGCACACAAGGACTTTCGTAAGCCATCTAAGAGGCGGGCCAGTACGGACCATGAAGACGACGAATCAGAAGGACCGAGAGACCCCAAAAGACCGACGTTCATGGCGACACAAGTCTCAAAACAAGATATCAATGCAGCATTCAGAGCCGAAGTTGAAGGAAACGTGGCCACTTTTGGCCACATTCCCAGTATGATGGCCACAAAAACCCTCTCAATCCGTGACGCTTGGATCGTGGATAGTGGGTGTGCTCAGCACGTCTGTAACAATGCCTCGAGATTCGTGAAGATGGACAAGTATGATGGCCCCCGTTGAGAAGCGTCGATACCTCAACGGCCCCTTCCGGTATAGGAATTGTAAATGTCCTGTGCAATGTACGAGGAAGAAAGAAATGGCTTGTATTAGATGACGTTCTGTTCGTCCCAACTGCACATGCGAATCTCATATCTGTGCTGCAACTTCTCAATCGAGGAGCAAAGATCGATTTCTCAAGCAATAGCGCCATTATTCGAAATAAATCAGATGGGAAAAATCTGTTCACCGCGAGCCAATATCATGGAGTCTACGCACTCGACTTATGGGCCAAACCTGCTTTTCCAGCCTACCATGTCAGCCCGCAATCGGCACTCTGGCACAATAGGCTCGCTCACATGAGCGGTGCGAATATACAACGACTCAAAAAGCAAGCTCACGGCATTCGGGATGATACGCCACGCCAACCTTGCAACCCATGCCTCCAGGGAAGAATGATTGAAACCCCACATCGCCGTTCAGAAGCAGGCAAAAGAGCCAAATACGCCATGGAGCTCCTGCATATCGATGTTGCAGGACCATTTGAGGAGGGCCTTGATGGCAGTCGTTACTGGCTAACCATCGTTGACGACCATACTGGATGGGTTGAGATCGTTCCCATACCACGACGGCAAGAATACGTCATTGAGTCCTTACGGTACTTCCTCGACCACAATGAACGCCCTGAGCGTAAATGCAGGCGAATTCGTCTTGACCGGATCCCGGAACAAGTGGGAGAAGAAATGAAATTTACCCTCTTCTCAAGGGCAATCCAAGCCGAAGTCACGGGCGTCGACCAGCACCAGCAGAATGGGGTAGCTGAAAGAGCCCACAGGACAATTTACGATCGAGTAGGACCAACGCTCGCGCATGCGAAACTACCGCCCAAATTCTGGTCGGAGATTGCGCGGACTGCGGCCTTCCTCTCGAAACGATCACCATCATCCAAACGCAACATGACTCCGTATCAAGCTTGGTATGGTGACAAGCCTGACCTGTCACGGCTGAGAGTCATAGGATCCAAGGGAGAGTATCTAATCCCACCCAAACAGAGAAAGAAGTTAACGGGACCAAGAACAAGGCCATGTCTACTGCTGGGATACGAAGGAAATACAAACTATCGCATCCTGCTAGAAGACGGCAGAATCATTGGTACGCCAAATGCAGAATTTCATGAAGTCCTCAACACTCCTTCCACGCAGACCAGAGAAGACGTGGGAGCCAAACAGCAGAGCTTTCCTGTGGCAACGGCTGCTGCCGCAGGGGGAGTGAGACGGTGGGACTAATAAACCAACCGTCGGCCAGTATGCGACATGCATCCGTGCCAGCCTCGGGACGTCAAACCTCCCTGGCGCCACAAGGGCAAATACAGCCTAGATCAAGGGACGACATAGTGCAAGTGCATCTGCCTCAGTCGAGTGATAATAACTCGCAGCCCGCCGTTGCTGGACAAGGATATATAACCTTTTCGCCTACACGGAGTGACGATACCTTCGGACCCTTATCACCTGCTTCACAGGATTCCGTCCTTAGGATTGACTCACCACCCGGTAGCGACCAGCAACAAGGCGATGCTCAGCAAGGGCGAATCCCAGATTGGCTAGATTGTTCCGAGCTACGGGAGGGTGGCGCAAAACACATAGTGCAACAAGCCTCACTGGAACGCCACCCAGAACTCAAGCTCCGTGACACACAAACGTTTCAAGACACACCTGGTGATGACCAAGAAGAACTCATATTGATGAATATCCCTGACGAGAATGTCATTCCGACCTTCCTGACCGTAGCAGCGGAAGAGATAGAACCCTTCGAACCAAAGTCCCTTCGACAGGCCAAGAGCGATCCACGCTAGCTTGAATGGGAAAAGGGAATGGGTGAAGAGTTACAATCACTCAAACAAAACAAAACTTGGGAAATGGTTGACCCTCCCAAGGATCGCCGAGTCCTGAGCGGGAAGTGGATCTTCAAGCTCAAACGAGGACCAGGCGGAGAAATCGTTCACTACAAGTGCAGATGGGTAGTCAGAGGTTTCACCCAAGAAGAAGGTGTCGATTATGATCAGACATTTGCTTCCGTGGGCAAACCAATGAGTTACAAAGCCCTGTTCGCAATTGCCGCAGCCCTGGATCTCGAGATCGAACAGATGGATGTCAAAACAGCGTTCTTATACGGCGAGGTAGACCATGAGATCTATGTTGAACAGCCGCATCACACTACAGACGGCACATCGAGGGTCTGCAAGCTTCGAAAGGCACTCTACGGTCTGAAGCAAGCACCTCGCATCTGGTATCAGACGCTTACCAATTTCCTTCGGGATCTTGGCTTCGAGCCCATCAACGCCGATCTCAGTATCTTTGTTCGGAGCAGCATGTACATTGCAGTATACGTGGACGACCTCTTGATCATCGGACCAAGCATTGCAGAGATAAAGAAGATCAAGAGGAGCCTCAGAAATCGTTTTCATATGACAGATCTTGGCCCCTGCAGTTACTACCTCGGCATGACCATCCGGCGAGACCGGCAGAACAGAATCCTCTATCTCAGCCAAGAGGCTTACGTGCACAAAGTCCTTCAACAATTCGGAATGTTAGACTGTGCACAAGTCAGCACGCCTATAGACACTTCACCTCTACCAGAAAGCGGTCCTGAATACATCTGCCCGTCGAATGTAAAAAACGAGTACCAGCGTGTGATCGGATCGCTGATGTATATCATGCTTGGGACTAGAGGCGATATCGCATACGCTGTCTCGGCGGCAAGCAGACACTTGGCAAATCCTGGTCCACAACATATGAAGCTCGCCCGCCGAATCCTTCGATATCTCAAAGGCACCAAATCCCTCAGTCTTGCGTATAAAGGTCAGCTCCAGATGCTCCGTGGCTTCACGGATGCAGATTGGGCTGGGTGTCACCAGACAAGACGGTCGACGGCAGGATATCTTTTCAACATTGGAAGTGGAGCAATCGGCTGGCAATCAAAACGCCAGAACATTGTTGCCCTGTCTACCTGCGAGGCCGAATTCATGGGCCAGACGCAAGCAACCAAGGAAGCCATCTGGCTGAGAAGACTCCTCCACGAGCTGAACATGGGCCAGGGAAAACGCGCAACGATCATCTGCGGCGACAACCAGGGAGCCATTGCGCTGGCCTCAAACCCTCAATATCATTCGCGTACAAAGCATATGGAAATCCAGCGAAAGTGGCAAGGAGAAGTCCAAGACGCCAAGACAGTGGAACTCAGGTATATCCCAACGTCAGAACAGATAGCGGATGGCTTCACGAAGCCCCTTGCACGAGATAGATTTGAATGGTTTCGAAAAGGCCTCGGCATTGAATAATAGCCCGGTCAGACACGAGCCTTCATACCAAAAAGGAAAAAGAAAAAACCGGGCATGCAGGCACCCTTTCCTTCCATTTTTACCACTGGTTTTGGGAGGTTTTAATGGGGCTTGGCAACCGTGATGAAAGATCGCTGATATCCTTCCGACGAAGGAGATTAGCGAGTGGGAGTGTTGAAATATCCCGGTTGCTGAGATAATGAGGCTGGGATCACGTGCATACATATATACCTATTCACCAGCCTACTTGTATCTTAGACAACATGCAACACAACACACAATCAACTCCCCTCAATAGCATGAACACTGAAGCATCACTTATAATCAACAGCGAGATTGACGTTGCGATGGCAAATCCAGAGCAGATTCCATGATGGTTCCATTAACCAGGTGGAAATTGAGGCAACATTTGCTTATCGATTGCTGGAACCATAACAGCAAAATCCGACATTTGAAACTAAATATACAAGAATTGCTGTAACTTAATGTATGAAGGTCTACTGATTGAATATTCAAAGGTCATCATGGTCATAGCCTCTCGATATCAAGGCGCGCAAAGATCGCCATGATTAGGGCTCCGAAAGGAATATGATCATTCATGAATATTCATGAATATTTGCGAATATGAATAATATGAATTGCATAATATGAATATGAATAAGAGACTTATTCATATTGCATTATTCATGAATATTCATGAATGATCATATTTATTCATATACTGAGAGAGCATACATTACCGTTCATGTTGTTACGTCTCAATACAGGAACCCATTTTCATGTGCCTAAGACTCTATAACAAATGCGTTCACCATCTCTAAGATATTACATTCCCATAAATCTTAATATTATCACAATCACTTTTTTGGAACGCTATTTTTGATACTGTCCCTTCAGTAGCATAAGCCACCGCATAGTCTCCGCATTTAGACAGTGTCTCCTGAGCCCCAATACATCCCTGGCATTGCTGAACTCGCGTTCAATCCCTACCTCCGCTGATGGAATTGGCAGGTAATCTCGGGCTGCCTTTGCCATGAGTGGAAAGCTAAATACATTTGCCTTCCACCATTTGAGAACCCATTCCTCGTCTGCATCGTCAATCATATGGTGGGACCAACTCACCGGTGGCGCGTCTAGATATCTATCAATGTCTGAAAGAAGCGTCCGCTGTGATGGCTGTACTTTTCGCAGCGTCCTCCACATAGTCTCTGACATTCCCGGCGGGCGATCCACTACACACGACATGGACAACTCCTGCGGATACTCCCTCTTTAGGAACTCCCGCACTTGAGAGATGATCAGTCCCGCATCTTGCTCGCTCATCTGCGATCCAATCAAAGACGATTTAATACGCGGGTCTAGGACGGAAGCCACGTAGTAAAGAAGATTGGTGTCCATCTTCCTCGCAAACTTGTTCATCTTTTGGATTCCTCTTTCCACCGCATCCCGGATCTCAGTATCCACACCTTCAAAATCACCTTCGGCTTTTTGAACCTCGTCAAGGAGGTCGTCTAGACTCCAATAGATAGGCAAGCTCTCAACAATCGTGGGACAAGATTTTGATACGGAGTTGGTGTGATCCCAGAATGGCTTAAGAACCTTCGCTACTTGTTGAAGAATCGACCATTCGTTCTCGTTTAGTTGAAGGGCGTGAACTTCTGGATGCATCCGAACAAATTGTCCAAGTTCCTTCTGTAGCCGAAGGGCGTCCGCTATCATGATATAGGTTGAGTTCCATCGAGTGTCAACATCGTAGCCCACTTGCTTGGCTGGTGACACATCTTTCCAATTTTGGCGGCGCTGTGGACTGCGGGCAACCCATAGGGTCAGCAGCCGGATCTTCATGATTGCTCCCTTCGTGCTGTGGGCAGAGGTGAATGTTGGGCTACTTTGTGTGGCCATGTCGTCCAGTATAACCTTCGCCTCTCGAGCTGAGCCGGCCCTCAGGGAAGCAAGTACGTCCCTGCAAATGAGATTTATGACGTGGGCAAGGCAAGGAATGAAGCTCTGCCGTCCACGAAACCGCATAAGAGGTCTGATGCGAAATTGGTCGTCTTTATCGTCATAGTTCTTGAGAAGCTCGGCGTGAAGACTGTCGCAGAGAGTTCCATTGTTGGCAGCATTATCCCCCGTAATTGTGAGGAGCTTTGGCGCGACGTCTAGTTCCTCGAGCATTCTAATCACAATTTCCGCAAGGTTCTCCCCAGAGTGCGGTCCACATATGTCAGTAAACTCCAGAAGCTCTTCCCGCTTCTCAAACTCGGGTGAGATCCAATGGCCAATGATGCCCATGATCGCTATCTGATTCTCCGATGTCCAAACATCAAGAGACAGCGCAAGCGTGCGACTACTACTGGCTAATTCTTCTTTCACGCAAGTCCGGTTTTTGCGAAATTCCTCCTTGATCCTGTTGAAGAGAGTGTCGGCCGTCTTGATGGGTAATATAGCCCCTGTCGCTTCAAAAAGTGCCCTAAATGCCGGATGCTCCACTACCGTAAACGGCTGTCTCGTTTGGACAACCCATTGTATCAGCATTTGTTCAAGGCCCGCCCTTTCTTTTGCAGGTGTCAAAAAACTGTCCAGGGTCGTTCCGATAGTTGACGATGACGTGATGTCTGATCCGGAACTGATGCGGTGCTTAGCCTGGAGATGGGCCAACAAATTCGAAGTGGAGCCATAGCGTGCCGAATCCCTGGATGACCAACTGCACTGCCTACAGACTAAGAGCCGATCCTTCTTTGGTGGCCCACCCTTTCGACGCCAGGTGTTGTCTAGCTTTGTGATCCAGAAATGCTCGAGGGTCCAGCTAGAATATGACTTGGCTTTTCGTCTCTTGTAAGTCGGTGGGCTACTCTGACTGCTAGTCAACCCTGATAGCGTGGGATCTAGCGGTGCGGGCGAAGACCTGGGAATGGGTAAGGACAGCACGGATGGGGACGTCTCTTCGCCTTCTGTAAACTCGGATGGTGCTGGTGAGCAGGGGCTCTCTATTTCACGAATATTTCCTTCCCATGGCTCAGGGAGTAGGGAGGGTGTGCCATTGTTCAGAGCATTGTAGTCGCGACGCGGAAGACCACGCGTCTTTCGCACAAATGGGTTAGGTGAGGATGCCATTCTGTATTTGCTCAGTGTTAGTAGTCCAAGTGGTACCTGGGAGCGAGGCGGGGCACACCTTTAGTATCACTCGACAATACTTGATAGCATGGCGGGTCGGAAATGAACGGTGAGAATGAAACAATGATGGGGAAACACTAGCTATGCTTTCGCCTGATGCGAATCCCAGTAAAGTGGAAAGTTGATAGGTCTTTTCTTTACACGCGGCGGTTTCTCACTCGCGACTCTCATGGTAAACAATCTGTAACCTGCATGAGAAGTGAGTTAAGGTGGCATGATAAACGCGTTTTTACGTGCCAATAGTCATGGTTATAATAAATCTAAACTTTGGAGTAGATCGAGTGGGAACAAGAGAAGTTATGGTAGTCGATTTAACTAGAGCAGCAAAGATGTGGAAAGACGACTTGTAGATATATATAATTTCGCTCGACTTTCTGTAGCAACCGTTGGTCACCAAAACTAGACATTTACCTATAAAAAATCACGAAAAATAATGACGCAGAATATATAGAGCTTACCGAGCCCTACAATATAGGGTATATACTTCAGAACATGGATTGCATGGGAAATATTTTCTACTATGCTTGACCGAGGCCGTGATCGCACTTGAAATACAAGTTGGCTAGTGGAAACGTGTTTTTCTGTAATACAAAAACCGGGGAAACGGAAGATCCATTAATGCGCGCAAAATGCATGATATGAATAATATGAATGCGAATATGAATAATGCGCTTATTCGCGCGAATACGATATTCATTTATTCATATTCGCGGGGTGCGAATATGAATATGCCCTATATTCGCATTCATTTATTCCTTTCGGAGCCCTAGCCATGATGGCAGTATAATCTCTAAATTCTAGACCTCTCTTGTGAATCGTATAATCCTGTCTCAAAACTTCGCTTTGGCCTCCCTTCGCAAAAAGCAATCTTCTGATCTGCCCGGCCCCACATCACAAGCAAGATGGTGGAGCCAGCGTAGATTTGGACAACTGTAACTAATGATGACGGTCGGGGTAATCTATGAGACACTGGTGCCATTCAGGGGTGTATAATCTTGCATATCTATACGGTCTCGACGTCGCGGATCCTTCAATTGAGCGCCGTGCTATTTCTAAAGTGTCCCTACGAAGTCCCATATCTTTTCTGTCTCAACACCAAAATCTCGTGCAAATATGGGTATATCAAATACCCTCTGGTCTCGTTTTATCGAACTCCTTGGATGCTGCAGGGCGAGGAAGCAGTCACAGGAAGGCCTTCAAGGTTTGGATGCTTCTTTGATAAGTTGGACTGCAACATAATAACCATTGATCCAGAAGTGGTGTATCAGTGTTCGGCGCCGCATCGTGGATATTTCGTCGAATTGATATCTGCAAGAAAACTTGACGAGCTTGCAGTGAGTGTCCCGGAACTATTGCATTCAGCCATCTTCCAATCCATGGCTCTAACGGATAAAAAATAGAAACAGACGTCTAGTTCGGACTTCGATTACGGTAATCTGCGCATACTTGAACAACTGGTAGATAGCAGAAGTACCAATGTTTACCACATGCAGCGCGAAATCAGGAGTGTGGTGAAGATGCCGAATACGGAGTATCATATCCAGCAATTGCGGTTTGAGCACTACTGGTTCTCACAGACAGAGCTGATGAAATCTTCCATTGGACGTAATCTCCTGCAAGCCGATGCCTACAAAGGAGTTAGCGAGCCCTTGCCTGAAGATCACGCTTTCAATTCTTCCTGATCAGCCGAGCTTCTCCATACCCTAGATAGTGCCATCATGCAGTTAATCTGAATTATATGGCCGACGAATCAGAGCGGCCGTAAACTAGAACCCATGTTGGAAGGATAATTAAGCCAAGGCCACAGTCGGTCGAGGCTGAAGGCTTTGGTATTGCAATCTTGGTTAAATCCTTGTAAGAGCGCTACTTGCGCCCCCACCGCTAGTTCTATTCAGCAATTGCATCTAGTAGTCTTTGGATCTGTGGGGATGCATTGGCGAGTCGGTCCTCACCTATAAAGTCTAAGCTTCGTCGAACTGACAGCCTTCTGTTTCCTGTTCGGAGCAAACTAGCTTCATTTATTAGCTTCTATTCACTTTGCTCCAAGATGTCTGAGGTGGAAAGGCGGCTCGCCATCTTGATGCAGGCTCTTGTAAAAACGCGCTTGAATTATATCTGTCCGCGATGCTTTAAGCTCTTTTCAGATCCAAACGCTTGCTACCGTCATTGTCGGAAGGAAGGGGAAGGAGATGAAGGCGAAGGGAATGGGGACAGTATCCACGAAGGTCTTGGTCTGATCACGAAGGCTTATTTTCCGGAATTCCTTCGATGCTACCGGGTTGCTATTGGGTTTCAGATAAATGAAAGTGCTCTTCCCTTGGGAGGCGGTCCAGGACGCCGCTCTTACGAGGAATGTTTCTCTGTTGAGTTTGTACTTGACAATTGTGGTGAGTCTTTTCACCCAAACGCAAGCCCTATGTGTTGAGACTGACGATAAAACAGTTGCAAAAAGAGAAATAATCGACGCAATGCGGTTGGCCGTGATTAAGATCTAAATCAACACCCCATTGGGTGAGATAAAGTCATGGTAGTGTGTTGCAGAGCAAACTGGTCGACCGACGGCAATCTTTGACAGGTGGGGATCAGGAGAAGCGCAAAAGAAGTGGAAGTGGCAAAAAGCCAGTTAAAAGCCTGGTATAAGATTCAATGATTGAAGTTGGATTGGACAGGCAATTGTATATATACCTGTCTTTATTATTTCCCATTGACTAGCATGATACGGATAGGCCAACAGATGGTCAAAACTAGGTATACAAGACCCCGTCGCCTATGATCACGTGCCGTTCTAATAGTCCCCTCAATCTTTCCTTGAAGTTTGCCAACGTATCCGGTTCACACATTTTCGTGTAGCTGAGGTAAATAGATTGGCACACTGCGTCAAATTGCTCGTCAGGGTCGGCGAAGAATTGAAGAAGCCTCTGGGGTAGAGGCACCATTTTCGAGCTAAAATGCCAGGCGAGGAGGGAAAGCATAGCCAAATCACGAACAGCGAGTTCACCTGCCACACGGTGGGCATAGTTCCTCAGCAGTCTGTTCTTGGCCAAGGCTCTGCGTTTTCCCCAGGGCAAGTAGCGATACTTTCTGAGTGCCTGGCAGGAGGATATCAAGAATGTGGTCCTGTCATTGAGCTTGTGCTGGCGTTTGATTGGACGATGGAGTCTTGAGATAGCTCCGTCGGAAAGCTAGCGACCCATCTGCAGTCATAAAAACAACCTGGGATTGCCAGAGCGCATAGCGTGCGAAGTCTTGCGTGATATACGGAATAAAGTCCGGGAATTCCTACAGGATTACATCGCCAATCTTGAATAAACTGCTCGTCCGTGAAAGTCGAAACGTTCAGAGATATGAGTCTAAGCAATATCGTGGTCTTATGGCAATATACAGAAAAATGAGATCCGCGGCAGCAAGAGTACCTAATCGAGAGACGGACGGCGCGGCTAGGGAGCCATTGATAATGGAAGGTAACAGCCTCCTTCTGATCATCCCGCACACCGGGAATAACGGTGGTCAATTGTTGATTCGGAGTGACGCCAAAAGAAACGACCGAATGACGCTTGGGGGCAATCAAGTTGGAATGACAGAACTACAAGATGAAGTTTGCGGACACGCATCAGGCACTGCATAATACTGCTTGACCGTAAGAAAAATTAGACTCAGATTTCTCTCAATAAGTCCTTCAGCTCCGAACCCCTTTGAGCATTAGATAAATCTGGTAGAAATGTTTCCATTGTCGAGGTATCCGATTAAAAACATTTCGATGTTCTCGAATATTCTCCGGTATCTGCTGTATTTATTATCCCCGGAAGGTGAGGCCGTCAAGTTTCCCGAGGAACTCTCTATTAATTTCTAAGACTTTCAGATGCTCACGACTGCCTAAAGCTCTCTTGACACCAGCACTGCGGACACTGAAAATTGTATTTGTCATGCCAACGTCTGACCACATGCTTCCACATTTCAGGATTGAGCCCCATTTCCAAGTACTTGCCATTGTAGTCATCCCAGTACTGTGTTCGCCGTGTGCGATGCCTTAGGCAGTCGCAACAAAGGCCCATATTTGTTTCAAGCCGGCCGGAACCGTCACGAGGTGCTATCCGCCTGAGGAGGGAAAATATATCAGCACAGGTTGATGGTGGGAGATATCTGTGCTTGGCTACTGATGGTATTCGAATTCGGACAAGCGATGAAACCTGTAGCAGGTGCTTACAAGTCAACGCAAGACACATTCGATCCAAAGGTTCACATTTATTGAAGATATAAACGATTAATTCGGGAGGTAAGCCAAGTAGTTCGCAGGTGATTTGTGGTTCTGCCACGAAGATCTGAGACGGATTAGATAGTTAGATAGTGAAGGAATGTCAGAGGTTTGAATGGGTCCAGAAGTGCTCACATTGGATGGCTGCTTAAAACGGCATCGACAGGAATGATAGGATTTGGGTAATGCTGACATCGAAGCGTTATGGTAGGCAAAATTTCTTGCAGCTTAGGGGTGTTAACTTGATAATGAAGACAAGCGTTCTACGGAGAATGTCAACTGCCACAATTTTTCAATCCAAGGGGCGTCAACACTGCGTTCCCGACTGTGTTGCTAGGGCAACCCCTTAGCGAGCCATCACAGGAAAGTTCGAGCCTACCGCCTTAGTGTGAACGGAAATGGTCGACCATTTCTCGCGTCCTTTGAGACAAGAGCCAGTCACTCAGCCATAAATAGGTTATTGACAAGCGTTTATCGCCGAAGTCGCTGCTCACTTCATTGAAACACGTATTGTCGGGACAAAGCTGGAGAGAGAGATAGGACTTCAAGAATAAAACGGCAGGTAACAATTGAAGCAATATGGCCTGCTTCACCTACAGCTTCTTCTTCAGTTCTTTATGTTGTTTTTCAAAGGAAGATTGATAATATATTCAAAGAGAATAACTTGAAGTCATATATACAAGGAGAAGACCAAGCTGATTTAAAGTCAACTCGAATCTGCGTATAGACACCAAGTAATAACTCCGATGGTGCGGCTCGGCTCCTGATTCCGGATCCGACACAAATCAAACAGCCGGCCATAAGCGGAGGATCAGTCGAGTAACGCCGTCACGAGTCACGCCGTCACCGTCCGCTCGACGACCAGGTCACCAGCAAGAGCCAGGGCACGACCAAGAAGACCTTTCCCGTCGCTGCGCTGCACAATTTTGCACGCAACGGTGTTTACTCGGCTCGCAGACTGGGAAATCCCTGAATGAGCTGTGTCCAAATGTAGAGCGTCATTCCCGGGGCCAAGACGACCCGACTCAGCATCCTATCTCGACTGAAGATTTGATGCTTTCACTGGAGAGCCAATTGGACGAAAAGATCGATCGTTACATTCCTCTTGGCGGTTGTGTCTCCTACGGTGCCCCGTTCGAACTTACTTGCATGGAATATGGATAAACGTTTATCGGCAAAGGCACCAGTTCGGGGTTGTGGAAAGAAGTTTCCCGCGAAGCGCAGGTATATCAGATTCTGCGTAAAGCTCAAGGATCCGCTGTGCCTGTGTTTTTGGGAACGATTTTAGCTAGCAAAAAATCTACTTTCGTCATGGCGCTGGACCAATCCGCCACATGCTCGTAATGGGCTGGGGGGTGAAAGTACAGCGACGATGGAGCTGACGCAACAGCTTCGCCGCGCGATTCATAAATCCTACAAGGAAATCAAAGATTTCGGGATATTACATGAAGACCTCGGGCGAGACAATGTTCTTAGAATGAAGGGCTCGGGCGTGCTTTGATTATCGACTTTCACCTTTCTACTTTGAGATGCCAACCAGCTAAACAGCGGCCGGGGGCCGCAAAAAGCCGATTTTGTCGAGTGGAGACAGGAGATGGGAAACGTCTTCGTGTTTCGTGATGAAGAAATCTATCCTTCTCCTGTTTATTAAGCGATCTCATTCTTGATACCCAAATTTCCATTGTCACCTATATATTACGATGCGAAGTGCGCTCCTTCTTCACATGCTTCGACATCATCCAAGTTATTACGCGTAACATTCTAAGACCAATATACGAGCATTGCAGACTGTCATCCATTCTAATACCTGAAATTGTCGTGCACTGATCGAAATTATCACTATACGGATTCAAGGCTGCTGAGAATCTCGACGTTACAGTCTATCCGTCAACAGGGTCTTGCCTGCAAAACTCCTTGGGGGAACAAGTTTCTATTCCGCTACTGATGCCGACAACTCTTTCTTGGCAAAAACGTTTTCTTGAAATATCTAGCCAATCAGAGGTCTCACGGCCTCGTGAATTAGTTCATCGTAATCGTAACCTCAAGCGCTACGGCCTGATACCCTTTTCACAGGGGAGATGGCAGCGATGGTTGGGACGGGTGCGAACGCACAGATTTTGCCCCCTGACAGGAGAGGAACGCCAAAAACCACGGCCCTCGCGGATCCGCCCCGATCCATGGACGACATCGCGGAAGGGGCCCGCCGGGTGCTTAACCACATCGAGAACAATGGCACGGAGGACCGGTACGTCACTGGATATATTCGTGCCGTCCGCCAGTACGCACTAAACGCCCAACGGGGAGACGGTCAGGGGATGGCCAAGGTGCTTGAGGCGCTGACCAAGATCAACGCCGGCACCGAACGCCTGAACCAGCGAATTAATACCATTGAAAAGACAACGAACACATTATCGACGGCACTATCTACCCCCGCGGCGAACTCTGCGGCAGCGTGGCGCAACTTCCGGGCCAAAGAATGGCAGCGCGACTTGGCTACGGCTGCGGCACCTATCACCCGGAGCGGCGGCACATCGTCTCCAGGAGTACCGGAAATGGAACTTCGCGAGGACCGAGAGGTCATCGTCAAAGTCGGAACGAACCGCGAGCAAGTCCGTGGATTAACACCAAAAGATTTGGTCGAGAGGGCTGAACGACAGAGGGTATCAAATGCCCGTCAGAAGAATTCAGGGGTACTGGCCGGACAGGCTTCATTTGTCGCTGCTCGAAAATTGCCGTCGGGGGATGTGGCAATGATCGCCAACAGTGCTGCGGGGGCAGAGGTCCTCCGCAAACATGCTGCGTGGCTGAGAGCCTTTGGGCCAGGCTCGGTGATCCAAGAACCGTCATGGGGAGTGGTGGCGTACCATATCCCCGTGAAATCGATGAAAGTTACCCCGGAGACGATGGCTGACGTTGCGGCCGAGCTGCTCGCGCAGAACAACTGGGGCGAAGGCGCTAAGATTCAGTATCTAGGATGGATGACCCGTCCGGGTGAGAGGGCGGAGGGCTCCATCCTGATCGAGTTCACCAGCCCAGTCGTGGCTAATCGCGCGATCATCTCGGGAGTCGTGTGGGGGAAGCAAATTCACAATGCATCACGATTCTGTCGTGAGGGGCGGATAAAGCTATGCAGAAAATGCCAAAAGCCGGGGCATATCCAGTCACACTGTTCCAACTTCTTCAAATGCGGTCACTGCGCCAACGGACACCCGACCTGGGAGTGTCCGTCGACGAAGGGGCAAGCGATACCAGTCAAGTGCGCCAATTGTGGCGAAGGGCATCGCCCTACAAGTCGGGAATGTCCGGTGAAGGTTGCAGCGATGAACGAAGCCAAACAAGCGCTGGCCAACTGCCCTGCATATCACCGCGTTCCTATGCACCTCCAAGTGACGGCAAGCACCGGCAACGAAGCACCTTCGACTAGGGCAGACCCCATGGTTGTGAATGGACTCGAAGCGTCGATACACGCTCCGGAGCGGCAACGGGAAGAAGAGCCCCCATGGAACCCCCAGGATGCTGTAATCGACGTGGAGACCGCAGCGATAGAATTAGAAACATTACCAGAGGAGGTCACTGAACCGACTCAGCCTACTCAGCTCAAAAGAGGCCCTGGCCGCCCAAAGGGCTCAAGAACGAAGCCAAAGAATCCCAAACCAACAGTGATACCACTGGCATGCCAAGGGTCCACAAGGCTCCAAGCGGCCTCGAAAAGGCGCCGCACAGGCGAGCCGGACGACACCATGGACGAGCAACCAGACGACAATGAATGGCTCAGCATTCAACCCACTCCGGCCAGTCTCCCTCAACCTGACACTCAGCAAGATAGCCTAGAACACCGACTTACCGAATTCATCAACGAGGTCACCACTGTCAACGAGGCCGGTAACACGTCCGGGCCTGATGACGAGGGGG